AGAACCAAGGCAAAAAGTTAAGTGATTTAAGAACATGAGCTATTTTTAACATTTGTGTTGTTGAAACATTTAATAGCAAACAGGTCTTTCCATCAGCTACCTTTAGCAGGTTATGTAAGAAATGTCAGCGAATATCTGCTTCAAACTGTTTTATTCTCCATCCCAAGGCAAGGACAGAGTGTTTCTATAACTGAATATTCAACACTGTATCCCAAAACCAGAAATGAAGACTGTGTGGGTGTTACAGGAATGATACTGTCCCTGTGTTTAACGTTTTTGGTAAACAGAGGGTTTCTTCTTTGCCGAACACAAAAAAGTTCCTTTTGTCATTTCAATTAAAGCAGCCAGCCACAACATTAAAACCACCTGACAAATGTTGTACTCTAGAGTTAGATAAACAGATTGGCCAGCTGATTAATTAGGCCAATTAACTCCGTTTTTAAAACAACTGGAAACCAATTAATAGGCAAGCACATGCTGTTTGTGTTCAATATGAGGCATTGCATTTTAGTGTCAACAAAATCCCGCATTTTTGTGTCAAAGCAAGTCCTTCATAACAGGGGTGACTTCCTTTAGTACAACACCAGCAGACCAAAAAGGAAGTTCACCAAATCTTGCACACCCAAAATTAAAAAACAAAAGACAAAAACTGATTGGCACAGCTCTATTTTAGCACCTAAGGAAGAGAGACTGACACTTACAAAAACACAATGGAGCTGTGAACCAGAACCTACTGTAATAACAAAGTTCAGCATTAGTTCAGGAATCAAAGTCGGCTCGACAGTGAGACGTAAAATTTTCTCATTTATATCAATCCACAAGGGTCCACTAAGTCTCCCTGTGGTCGACCACACGCAGCTCAGGATTTTATAACTGTGCTCGCTGTGTGTGCCAAAACCAAAAAGATTAAACTCTCATTTTACAAGTGGCACAAGAGACACAATACATGAAGAAGACTGCAAGAGTAAGCAGAAGAAAAACAATAGAATTGTTTCATCTGATGACGGAGTATGAAGAATCCTGCCCATTATCCACATTTGTACAACGTAAYACTAAGAGACGTAAAGAGCAGAAAACCTTAATTTACTATTAGGTATGATATTATTCATGTCTTTTGCTGTGGACTCTGTGGAGACTTTTACATTACAAGGCAGCTTAAAACGTAGTTTTTTTTAACAGACTTTTAAACATATTTGTATGAGTTTTATGTTGTCTTTTATGTTGTTTTATTGTTGCTTTCTTATCATTTGTAAATGTGTTTTATGTTTTTATTGTTATTGCTGTTGTGAAGCACCTTGTGGCTATTTGACTGTGAGTGGTGCTATATAAATAAAGTTGCTTACTTCCCACCTTTTATAAATAGACAACTGGCAAACTAGGGTATCAGTGTTTCCCCTACCATTATACAGCATTTTAATGATTTGGGCCGATTAATCGAAAAAATAATCAACAGATTAATCGATTATTAAAATAAACGTTAGTTGCAGCCATAATGAGGTACAATCTCATGCAAGTTCCATCTATCCATTTTCTTTACACCTTGGGGAACTGGTGCGGATCTGCAGAATTCTCTGTGCGAGAGGTAAACGGGTCACAAATCCGTCACAGGGGCATTTAGAGACAACCAACTATTCACACATTCACCCACACCTAGGGATGATTAAGGGTTACACGATAGCTCCTAATTGTCCTTAGGTGTGGTGCAATTTTGATCTATGGGAGAAACCAGAGTACCTGGAGAAAACTCACATGGGCACCGAGGGAACAGACAGGCCCCAGGCTTTAATCACTTTGTTGATGATGCAATGTCACAGCCACTTAACCTGTTGCTACAAGTTTCCGCTTACTTTATACTTAAGATATTTTGCTAACTGACAAACAAGTGCTGATGCCAACAAATAATGCTAATGTTTCCAACAAGGATTTTGTACAGTCGCATAAAAAACCTGTTTTAAACCTTTCTCAATGTCAAATTTATTTTTATAGCACAATAAAMACAACAAAAGCTGACCAAAGTGCTTTACAGTTCAGTCAAGACTTGTATCAAAAGACAAACAAATAATAGATGCAAATGCAATACAGAAACACACTATAATAATATATAAAAAGCTCTAACTGAACCTCCAACTCTGTCTTAATCAAAAGCCAAAGAAAAGAGATGGGTCTTCAGCAAAGATTATCTCACATACTTTTCTCTATAAATAAATAAATGAATAAAACATTTTAGTTATTTTTGGGGTTTTCTATCTAGAGTTGCCTGTGGTGGTCATCTTGAATTTACTTCAATTAGATTGGCAGTAATGAGATGTACATCCAGTTAGTATTTCCTTAAGCCAGGGCTGTTCAACTGGCACGTGGCCCGAGGGCCACATCCGGCCTGCGAGTGACCAAAATGCGGCCCGCCAATTGGTTCATTCATCCCTTAAGCCCAGACCACCAGTTTTCTACTTTAATTACCCTGAGTTCTTGGTATCTACAGAAACGTCAGAATCTTGGCAACAAGCTGGTAAAAACCATTTCTAAGCACACTCAAGACAGTTAAAACTATAAGCAGTTGAAGATAAAACTATGAAAGTAAAAATAAAATTGGTTTAAAATGTTGGCAAGTCAGTGATGTCAAAATTTTAGTTGTGTTAAATAGGAGGCATTATGTGGTTTTTGTTTTTGATACTGTTTTATTATCACTAAATTTATTATATAGGGTTCTGTATGTTTTATCTGATTAAATGCAGCAAAATAAACTATTTCAAAGGTAACAGATCTTTGGTTTATTTACATAATAACTTTAATTGCTGAATGGTGGCCCCTCAGCTGTTGGCCTGCATTAACCGTGGCCCTGGAGCAGTTTAGTTGAATAGCCCTGCCTTGTCATGTGACGTGTGCTGATGACCACTTGACCAGGTCACCCTTGTAAAAGAGATCTCGATCTCAATGGGCTCTACCTGGTTAAATAAAGGTGATTGACTGATTAATTGATTGATTGAGCTTTTATTAAAATTTGTGCAGTTCATATATATTTCGTTAACAGAGTTGACTCAAACTACTTGATGGGAACATTTTAAACAAAGATCTGTTGGTGAATAATATAATATATGTGTTGGCTTTCGGTGTCAGCYAACATCAAGATATCTGCAAAACTGACATTTTCAAAACTGTGCTTTGTAACTAACATCACTTGGCTTTGGCGGCCATCTTGAATATATGTGATTTGTGGAGTAATTCCATTTTTTGATATTGTGCTTATAAATCTCAGGATAAAAACTTTATATTGTCCAACTCTGTTAAGCAACTATTTCAAGCTGTGTACGATGTTAGAATCAAGTTAGGAACAACCTGTAGATCAGTGGTTCCCAAACTTTTTGTCTTCTGACCCACAAAATGTCCATGGCAAAAACTTGTGACCCCAAATATAACTGGTCTGAGTACATGAACTTTGTTAATAACCCTAAAATACAGTTTGTACACAAATATAAATACTTATTTAAACTTAT